CCTCTCTCTCTCTCTCTCTCTCTCTCTCTCTCTCTCTCTCTCTCTGTTTTCGGAAAACGAAAACGAGAGTGAATCTTCCGCGTGAACATGCAAAGATACACCGTCGAGGTAACCATTTTTTTTTCTTTTTTCCATGTTTTTCTGTGGTTGCCTTTTTTTTTTTTTTAGCTGCACTATGTTCTCAAATTAATTTTCGCCTTTCACAACCTTCCTATCACTAGTCCTAAGACTATATAGAGGGGACCCCCGTTGCCTTTCGCATTTTCTGCTTTTCTTTCTGTTTTTTTTTTTTCCTGTTTTTTTTTCCCGTATTCTTCTCCAAGGACGTTCGGGAGGTTAGCGCCCGGTAGTTCGAGCCTCGGCAAGGCTCGGCATACCGGTCGGCCGAGGCTCGGACTCGATAGCTGGGCCAAGTACTGGTGGTTTAAGGGATCCCGGTAGGAGGGGTGTTAGTAGACAGACTCTGGTGGAGGAAATCGTTGGGGAACCTGCTGTAGAGGCTGTCTGAGGGGGATCCTCCAAGATAGGATGGTCTGGGTCACATAAATTAGTTGCTGACTGTAGATTGGTACCTGTCGTGGGTCCAGAAACCGACTTCTACAACACCCTGGTGGGCTCAGTCTTAGTAGGCAGCTACTAGGCCTCACAACTGCAGGCAGTGCCGTATGTCAGGCCAAGGGTTCCTTTTTTTTTTTTTTTTTTTTTTTTTGGATGAATGGCCCGAGGTAGTGCTAGGGGTGCTGATAACAGCAGACACCACTATCACTCTTGGCGAGGCTCCATCTATTGGTGGGGAGCAGCACCTGCTGGAAATCGGGTCCAGCGTCCCTGAACATCATAGCTGCTTATGTGCCAAAACGTCCGATTGTAGCTACTGTCAGTCGCACGGGCCACTCTCAGAATAAGGAATTTGACAGATAGACCCCACGACTACTCAGTGACCAGAGCGGGTATAGATAGGTCGGGCCTGTTTCTCTTTGTGCATGTTGTCAAGCGCCAAATCCTGTTGGGGCTGCCAGTAATTCCCAACCCTTATTGGAACTCAGCCATTACGATCATGGCTCTACCCCCTCTCAGGAATTGCAGACTGTCATTCTTGACTCTCCCCTCCCCTTAGATCTGACAGGCTCTATCAATTCAAGCTCTCTAAATTTAGTATGTAACCTCAGGACAGGGAGCAGTAGTTGCAGTAGCCTGTAGGTGCGACCTTAGGCTGGTGTTGCTATTTCTCAGGAGACTGGAAAGTCCGCAGTAAAGGCTTTCCGCAGGCAAGGGCCTGTAAGCTAAGCTGGCTGATACTGCCAGTATTCTCAGCACCAAGTCCCAGTAGCGCGGGTTTGGTTTTCATTGAATTTCCTGGACCGGTGCGGCACGGTGTGACAGCATTTCGAGGCTTGGGAAAATAAATAAATAAATAAATAAATAAATTGAGACACCTGACAAGGTCGTGCAATGATGAGAATTCGGCTGGGGCCGGACGTGCGAGGGTGAACGAAAAGCGGGCAGGACTGGGCTGGGTCATTCTGGTATGTGTGTGGACTGCCCTGTCTCTGACTTGGGCGTTTGTGGAAAATGAGAACGAATAATCCCGCTAAATATGGGGAGATACACAGCAGGTGAACCCCTCACTAGTGTATCTGGTGTGTGGCGAAGCGAGGTCCATCCAGCTGAAAGGCCTCACAGTTTGTTGGGATGTGCGGTCATAGAAGGTGGGTGTAGTGCTCTTATGT